TTTTTTTTTACACCCATACGTATTGTTTATCTATATATATATATTTATTTATTAATCTTACTGAACATAAAATAAAACATTATTTATTTATACTAATTAATTTAATTATTTATTTAATATATATGTAATTATAATATTATAAAATTCTATAATATCATTGGATATATATATATATATATAAATTAAGAATATTGTATCTCAAATTTGGAATATTACAAATTGAGACTAAATTGAAATCAAAAATTAAAGTGAGACCAAATTGAAATTTTTTAATATTATAAGGGACAAAATTAGGGTTTTAGCCATTAATCAATTTTAGTGCAAATCTATGTGGATTCAATTCTTGGACTTCTGTCCATTTTACTACTTGCAAAAATAGGTACACTTTATGCTTTAATAATAATCACCCTTAATCCATCTTAGTTATAGCCTAAAAGGGGGTTTCATAATGGATCCAACTCAATAGGTTGACCCATACAGCCTACCAAAACAAGTTACGTTGGGTTTGGTTGTATTTTTCAACCCTCCAACTCACACAATCAAACATGCACATATTCCACCAACCCAACGGGTTAAATGATGAGTTGAGTTGGATTGACTTGTCGATTGACCTATTGAGTTACTCATATTTTTCTTGATTTTCATCTATTAATTTATATTTGTTTGTGGTTCAATTCTTAATAAGACTTATTTATTATTGTATTGTGTACTTATTTTATTGTTGTTAATGGATTTATTTATGACTATGCACCTATTTTATTGTTATTGATGAACTTATTTATGGTTGTATTCTGAACTTATTTTAATGTTGACATGTCTCTTATTGATGTTGGACTAAACTATTATCCTTAATGTTACAACTAAAGCAACTCCTAAAGTGGTTATAAGTAAAATGAACTATTGGTAAGTACTATTAAGATAAAATGTATATTTTTTTTCTTTGTGAAGTATGAACATGTTAAAAAAGGGAAAGAATGTGTTGTGAATGAGTGTTTCAAATACTTATGCAACATGTAAAAATAACCTTATAATATTTTTTTTCCTTCAAAGTGACCTTACATTGTTACAAAGAAAAAAAATGAAGATACAAAAAGTAATTATTAATAAATAATTTTTGTTATTTATTTTTTAAATATTTAATTTAAATTAAATCTATACATTATATTTAATATATACGACATTTTTATTTTTATTTTTCATTCCTATAATTTTTTTTTTGTCCTTATAAATTAATTTTTTTTTATTATATTGTTGACGTGACAATAGCATGACACGTGAAGATATAACATTATGTTGATGCGACACCAATAATATGACCTTATATTGATTTTGTGTGTGATGAGATTATTATGTTGTGATCTTTTGCGACGTGATATATTATAACGTTGTCAAGATAATATTTTTGTAACAAATTTTATCAATAGAAAAAAAAATAAAATGTTTAGATTTTATATAGATGATTAATATAAAAAAAATTTTACAGAGGAAAAAATAAAATTATTAAATTACTTAAAAAAATTATATTTAAGTTCATAAATTATTAACTTAATATAATGATAAGATTAGAGGAAGTGTGCTCTATGTGCAAATCATTCCATCTTTATTTCTAGTCACAATTTGTATTGCCCACAATCAGAAGAAGTCACTCTCCAATTGCACCGATAGCCAATTGATGCTGTTATGGGCTCCACTGCCATTATCATATTTAATTTCTTTTTTTCTTTTACACCATATTTACTTTCTTTTAAATATTCGAGTTATGCAATGTGCAAGACTAGTCTATAATTAATGTATAATGTATTTAATAAGTTAATAAATATAAAAATATCATAAGTCTATAAAAATATTAAAATAAATTTACAATAAAACTACAAATAAGTTTTAAAAAAATACAATCACGAATAACTCTTACAAAAAAAATGTAATGCAAATAAAATTACTATAAGTCAATTTTAATATATAGATAAAAATTAAACTTAAAAATAAGTCAACTTAATGGGTCAATCGGACACGTCATTCTAATTCAATTTGTTGAGTTGACAAGTTATATAAGTTGAGTTATACGGGTTTGAGGATTAAAAGTGTAATCAAACCCAATTTTATCCAATGAATTATATGGGTCAACTTTAGGTTTGCCAACAAAAAAAAATTGTTATATAATTTTTATAAAGTAAAATATCACATATATTGTAAAAAAAAAAAAAAACTAACATATAACTCTTTCATTTTTTAAAGAAATTAAATTTGGTTTAGACTCAATCTTGTCTTTGGAGAAATTATTGTGTCTAGAACTACCAACCACCAAGTATTTGTGATTACAACCAATCCCTATATAATATGTCTTTAAGTTTTTTAATTATAATAAAAAATTAATAAACTTAACATGTCATGTAAAAATTAATAAACTTCATTGTTGTTATTGTATAATTTTTAGGAATAAAAAAAACCAATTTGAGATAATATAATTTAGACATACCTAATAATTTCTCATGCTTTTGTGCTACAACGACTCATATGTTGGCAATAAGCAGATTCAAGTAACCATTGCATAAGACCATTTTGTGGAGGGTCTTAGACTCTTATGTCTACAACAAGCAAATACAAGTAACCATTGCATACAATCATTTTGTTTGTGAAGAGTCTAGAGTTCGTTTGTATATAAGTTAGAAACGTTTTTTAGAGTTTTTTTTTATTATTATTAAAAATAAAGAATATTTTTTGATAAAAAGAATTTTAAAAATACTTCTAAACTTGTATTAAAATAGTTTTTTAGTCATAGTCTCATAGAATATCTAAGTAACAACATCTTTTAAGCAAGTAATTATTATATATCAATAAATAGATTGCAATATTCATAGGATTTTTACTAAGATATGTTAGAGGTTTTATAGGTTACATATATAGAAGTATGTTTGGGTACAAGTTTGAAAGAATTTTTAAGAACTTTTCTATTAAAAATTACTCATTATTTTCAGTAAAAAAATTCTTAATAACCCTTTTAGACTATTTTCAAACAGGTTCTCTCTTTTCCCGTGACTTGTATATAAAGTGGCGCGTGCAAAGAATCTATTCTGTTGGTGCATTGTTCTGCTGTGGCTTATTTATGGCACTTTTTATTTGGCCTTTCTGTGAATGTTGGACGTGTCTTTGGTCCCTGAACAAATATGTAACTTATGGTTTCATGGTTTTGGAATAAGTAAGGAGGCTAAATGTTAATGTATTTTGTTTTTATAAAATTTATATGAAAAAAACTAATAATTGTCAACTTTAGAAACCAATTTATTAGTTATATTGGCGTGCTAGTTTCAAAAGAAAGCCATGAAGATAAAGTAATTGGAGGGGAAGTAATTAAGTAAATTGTGTTGCTAGAGATTTCACAAAATTCCCATACTAACATTTATCTCAAGTTGAAATTTCAAAGCATTCCTAACAAACTTTTACGACGACCATCACAATCGTATACTTATTTGATGACATGAACCACAAAAACAGAAAATTGCTTGTTCATCTACCTATATTTTCCCACATAACAATAAAATATATTACAATAAACTGATTTTGCTTGTGTGAACTTCTACAACAACATTATTTGGAGTGTAGTAAATTCTCATCATTTTATGAGCGTCAACCCGATAGCAGTTACTATAAGAGTGGAGGGAAGGCCAAATTTGAGATGGGTCCAAAAGGTTAATGTGTATCCATGATTTGGAGCTCGACGAGCTTGTTCACACACTATCAAGTTTGCAGCTGATCCTAATAGTGAAAAGTTGCCAGCAATAGTGCTAACCCAAGCTAGGATTAGCCATGCCTTCTTCTCATCTTCTTTGGAAATTGCAGCAGCTGAGGCTGCAACTCTTGCTCCAAGCAATAGAACTATATATAAAATATAAATACAAGATTGTGATACATTAGATGAAAATGGGTCTTGGTAAATATGGATATCAATCTAGTCTAAGACATGTTCTTGTGAAGATATCTACTAAAAACTCAAAAAGTAGTTTCGACAAGCAATGAATTTAAATTGCCATGCGACCTAAGAAATGCTAGTAATGCTAGTGACATTTATCTAACACTCTCCTTTAATATTCTCCATACTATTAGTTGAAAATCACATATTTTAGTAAGTTCTATCACTAAATCGAGAGAGAAATTCATTAAATGAGATGTGAGATCGCAAAATTTGTGAGTTACAAATAAGTTTTGACGGTAATAAAGAGTGTTAGAAAATAAATGACTAAGATAGATTATAAAATTTAAATACATATATTATATAGTGATTGGTTGAGATCATAAACATGTAGTGATCCTAGACTATTTAATAATTTTTTGTTAGAAAAAGTATTGCTAGCACTCCTCCTGTGACAAAAGCTAAATTGCATATATGTCTTTATATATAATAAGAAAAATCACTAATTACTTTTATTTAAGCAAGGTAAAATTATTAGATTGTCTCTTACTCTTGATCATGAATCCAACTCAACATAGATGGGGAACATATAAGCAAGCAAGAAAAATAATTATTTTGGCAGGATGACCATGCACTTACCAGTTGGTACATTTGAAGCCAAATTTGATAGGACAAGTATAACGACAGCAAGTATAGCTGTTCCACTAGCATGATTTATTCGAGAATAGGGCTCCATTAAATCCCACATAGCACTTGGAATTCCTGTTTTCTTGAAGCCATCCACTGTGATGAACATTCCACAAAAGAATATCAAAAGTGCATAGGATACCTGTTCCAAGAAGAAAAAACACACTTGAGAGATTTTCAAAGTTCAACTACCACTAGAATAACATTAGTTAGCATTTCAAAGGACATTTTATAGAATTGGTTGTGTTATATGAGTTTTACCTTGTCTAAGCTTGCTCCTGCATCTTTGAAATCAAGAACCAACAAAGTTATTGCAGCTGCAATTGCAGTCCATGCCATATTCAAACCAAGAAGCATTGCAATCAACATCACCAATGTGATTGCATAAACACTAGACTTCCATAGTACCCTCTTCCATTTTACTTTTATATAGTCCTTTCCTTCTGAAGAGAGCACAACACTTGCTTCTATAGCTTTATCTACTGCTACAGCAACACCTTTTGAATGATTAGTTTCCTGTTTTGCGTCATTTGTCCCCTCCTTGGAGTTTGTTGTGGAATCCTTTGTGCTACTAAAAACCATCTGAACTTCACTTACATTTGGAGTTGATTGGTCTCTCATAACATGAACTTGAGAAGAGTTTTGAATAGGTTCTAAACTTCCATTGCATTCTTGAGAATTAAAGGATGTGAAGTGAGACATTGTGGGTGGAGAAAACTGGTGGGAAATAACCTCCTCTTCTGCTACAACTTCTGAAATTGGATCCTCCTCATCCTTATGAATAGTTAGTGCCTTCCAATACATGGCTATGAGCATTAGAACATTCACTACAACCCCAACAAGCATGGCTGGGAGAATACCTTTTAGAAACCTCCCAAATGATATTTTACCTTGAATTGCTATGACAAGATTTTGGGGGTTCCCAATAGGAGTTGCTGAGGATCCAATATTAGCACTTGAGGCAAGCGCTAGAAGGAAAGGGTAGGGTGGGAGGTTATGTTGCCTTGCAATTTTCAACACAAATTCAGTCAACACAATGCAAGAGGTGTCATTGGTGAAAAAAGCACTTGAGAGAGCAGAAATGAGACAAATTCTACAAAGTAAGTCCTTTGGTCCTCTGCTTTTCCAAGAGAGCAATTTCCCCAAGTACTTGAACATGTTTGCTCTTTCAAGAAAAACAGTGACAACCATTGTGCCAAAAAGAAGACCAAGAATTGGGAGATCAATTGCATTGTAAGCTTGATCTGGACTAACAACTTTGAATATGACCATAAGCATTGCACCAAGCAAAGACCCTGCAGTTCTCCCAATGGGGAGAAAAGGCACTGCTGGGAAAACTGCTAGTACCCAGAAGATTGCAAAGGCTATTGAACCAAGTACAACTTTTGAAGTAGGAGCTAGTGCCATTGTTGTGATTGAACAAGCAACAATTTCCAAACTTGAAAAGAAATGTGAAAAGCTTCACCTCTAGGCCAACACAATAGAATGATGAGTGGTGGAATTTCCTGAATATGGAAAGCCAATTGGTTAGAAACTTGGTAAGAATGCATCAAATCCAGCCTTTGAAACTCCATTTCTTATTCAGAATACTACTTTGAGAAATGAATTAAGTGAGTCATTATTTGGAGTTGATATGTTCATGGCATGTGACATTGACATAGATACACTACGTTGCATGAATGGGGATACACCTATTATTGTGCTTCAAGAAGTTTATATGTTTCAAACTTTTTTTTGGATATTATTTAAATAAAAATGTTATTTTTAACATTTAAGATTAAAATTATATTTGTATTTAAATTTTTGTATCACAGTTATATTCTATATATAGAACTAGCTCATAAATAAAAATAAAACAACAATATGTTCTTAAAAAATATTTCTCTGAAACAAAAAGCATCACCTATATTGTATATAAATATAGTTTCTTATTAATATGGATAAGATATTTGAATTTGATATTATGAAACATTATTACTTAGTAGAAAAGATAAAATTACATAAATCTAAAAGAATAACATAAAAGGAGTAATTATAGTGAAAAAGAGCTGGAGAGTAATACCTTAACGAGCTCATAAATAAACTGAAATAAATAAAAGGGTAGCCAACCAACAAACCAATAATAGAGGAACCACAACGATACCAATCATCAGGGTCATTTTATAATCAAAATTGTATATTTTGCCTTTTATTTTTAATGAATTAAATGCTAGAGAGTGGATGTGACTTCGTGACTACGCCTGTGTTTAGTTTCACGTTTGAAACGTGAAAAATCACATTTAACGTGAAGTTACACAAATAAACGTGATTTTTCACGTTTCAAACGTGAAACCAAACACGTACTACAATGACATGTTAAAAATTTTATATTAAATATTACTATTTATTTTGTGTGAATAGTCAAAGTTATAGTAAATTTTTCGTTTATTTCAGGACTTCACTTATTGAATTGAGGTTTATTAGAGATACAAAATCTTAATTTTTGCCTTTAACACTAAGATATCTCCTTGAGAAGGATCTTGAAAGACGTAAAAAATCTACGTCATTAAAGACATTTTACTAATTACTACTTAAAAAAATTACCTAGTATGTTGACCTTTTGAAATTCATTTTTGATTTTGTAAAAGTAATTTCAAGTAATTTTTTATTATTAGAAATTTTTTGAAAGATCTTTCAACTGCAAAGTGTAAAAACTGTCTTTTTTCTTCTTCTTAATTTAAAGTTCATATTAAAACAAAATACAATCCTATACAAGACTATAATTAATTATTAACTTTTTAAAAGTATTTTCAATGAAATTATAAATCTTCTATATCACCTCTAACACAAACTATCAGAATTTGATTTCACAATATCAAAATCAACTTAAAAAAAGTGACTTAGAACATCTGGAAGTTGTTTATGGATTTTTTAACAATAAAAAATATTATTTGTGTTATATGAGATTTTAAATTGTTTAAAATTATATAAACAACTATTCTTTATAAACTATTTAATATTAGTATGTATATGCGGAGAGGGAATCTGAGATGCTGAAAAGGGAAAAAGAATATTTATAAGTTAAGTGACAATTAAATGAGCTATTTTTTAAGATAAATAATTTGTTTAAAAGTAGTAAGTAACGTGTATGACAGAAAAAAAATATATTTAAAAAGGTAAAGTAGGATACTTATTTGAAGAAGATATTATCTCATATAGATATATACTATTTTTAAATACACTACTTTATTAAGTCTCAAAACAAATAATATCATTTTAGTATAAAAAGAAAAGGCAATAGTCACTTTTTGAAGTCTTTGTCAGCACCGTGTGCCACTGCCTCATGATTTTATTGGGGGAGAAAATAACCACTTTTTTTGTCAACAAAAGACAAAAGTGACCTAATTTGCATTAAAAAAAATGGCCCAACCCAATCAAAATTATTTATACTGCATATATCTTAGTTGCATATCAACTTTTTGGCAAAAAGAAAATTTGGTACTTATAAAACATACACAAGCTGTGTACTATTTTTCTTTTTTGACTTTCTTTGTAATTGCTACTGATCCATATTTTTCTACACACCCCAAATACTATTAAATATCTAATAAGAGAGAAAAAAAAAAAGAAGAAAAAAAAATATAAGAATGATAAGTGATATGATGATAGAAAAAGAGACACAGAGAAACAAATGATATTGATGAAATATTTAAATATATGAGATGTACAAAAATCATTATTCTATGTATATGTATCACTCGTTGTTAGTTTAAATATGTATCTTCTTTTCATTTTTTTTTGGCTTAGACCTAATGGGTGTAGTGAAATTGTATTTAAACACATACTTAATCGAGTGTACAACGTGGAACAAAACACAAGCTTCTAACAAAATGGAACTATGAATTTATTTGAATAAATTTCTATAAAAATATTTATAAGAGATGAAAATATAAAATTATTTTTTTCTTCTTCCAAAAGTTAAAGAAATTTTCTCATGTGTTGATTTATCTAAAAACTTATTTTTAATTTATGAATAAGATAATTTTAGTTCATGAGAAAATTTATTTTATTTTTTTAGTAAGTACTTTGATAAATTTATTCAACTACTTCTAATATTTTTTAATCTTATAATAAAATTATGAATGGAAAAATTCACAAGTATTTTAAGATGTAATTATCAAATTCATTATTACAAAAAAAAAAAACTTGACAATATTTTCTTTTTTCATAAAAATTATAAGAAACATTAAACTTAAACTTAAGATCTTATTCATATTATTTCAATTCTCCATCATTATATTGACCCATAAGTTATGACCCATCATCTTCTTTAAATAAAAAGCAAGTTTTCCATATATGCTCTTATTAGTGAATTAAAACGACCCATGAAGCAAGAATTGGGAAACACTTGGCAAACTCATCAACTTAAACAAATACGTTTTGAGCAAATTAGCATCAAGGGTTGCATATTTAACAGCATTCAATTCAAGAAAACTGAAACCAAAAAAGAGAAAAAGAAAAACACCACAACCATTCATCACAAGCATTTAATTCACGTCCTATTCTTACCTTAAAAGGAAAAATGTTTCACGGGTTGATAACTCGAAAGCTCCATGAAAAGCTATGAGCTTTTTGTGAGAGTCCTTTTCCAAGTTGGATTGGGAAACATTTTATTTTGTTGGGAAAATGGTGGAAGAGAATTGCAGCATCCTCACTCAGCTGAAGATGACTATTCAAAACACTTCCACTTCATAGCCCTAGGTGAAAGGTGACCCCTCTTATATATATATTTATATGTGCACACTAGAGTATATATAAAGTTATAAAAGGTAACTTTAATATCTTCCAATCACATTAAAGGTAATATAATTTTATTTTTCTTTGTAATCAAATTAAGGGTTCAAGATTTTTTCGAATACTGACATTTTTTTTTAATTTATTAAATTTAGGATGTACGGCCACTATCTTTTAATTGAAAATGCTACTCACACATATACTTGCACTTACGTCCCTTCACACCACTTCATTATGTAACAACTAAACAGGGGGCATTTATTTCGGGTATTATATTGCATCTATATTCTAGGGAATGTTTTGGTTGAAATGTTATTTTAAGTATATTTTGAATATGTGTTCTGTTATATTATAACTTTCTTTAGAATATTTACAAAATTTAAAATAATTTAAATAAAAAATAATTAAAAAACAAAGTGAATAAGTGTGTTAAGATTACAATAAAATAGATTTTTAGTGGTATTTAATATAGTTTTTAGTAGTAATAAAAATTGCTACAAAATCTTTTAGCGACATTTCCATAATAGTCATTGTATGCGGTATCGCTAAAATATTTAGCGACAATTATTCTGAATGCTGGTAAAAAATTTTATAAGTTGAAAAAAGTGTATAACTTTTTGTGACATTTTTTACTTTCTACTCGATGTGGGACTTGTAAGATGAGGGTTGTCTTTTACTTATATATTTTTTAATTATCTTATCTCCTAATTAATTATTTTATTAATAGTCGTTGTGGGATTTGGATTTTTTCCAATACATGAAGTTAGCGGAAATACACACAGAAGGGGGGGTTGAATGTGTGTGTGCGTGTTCGAAGGTAGATTTTTCAAAGTTGCTTTGCAACAATTTTTTTAATGAATAGAGTTGATGGAATAACACTAAGGCCAAGAAGTCCAAGAGGTGATGTATTGAAAGAGACAAAAGGAATGAGTTAGTGTTGAAAAAAAAAAATCATAGGAGGAGTGAGCCCACTTTTGGGCCTTAGCTCCCAAGATTTTCTTAGCATAGCATTTATTCCTATTTTGTCCTTGTATTTAATTTCCTATTTTACCCTTGTATTTTGGGGTATTTTAGTCTTAGAATTTATTTTACTTGTATTTCCAATTTTACCCTTATATTTTGGGGTATCTTAGTCATAGGATTTATTTTCTTTTGTATTTCCCATTTTACCCTTGTATTATGGGGTGCTTTAGATTATAGGATTTTATTTTTGGGCTAAGGTATTTGATTAGGGTGGGAACAAAAACCTAGACATATTTTTGTGACTATTGGACCTATTTTTGGTGTTAGAAAGGCTTAGGCCCAAGTGGAGGGCAAAGGTTGCATGGTCTTATCATGCACCTAGATGTAGCCTAACTAAACCCAAAGATTCCATCCTTAGGCACCAAGTTGCATCTAGGGTTAATTTAGGTTTCATTTAGTGTGCATTTGGCACCCTAAATGCAACCCTAGATGCCTCCCACTCCTATAAATACCCTAGGCACCACACCTTGTAAATACTTTGGATATTGAATATAAAGAGAGCCTTTTGTGCCTTTATATCTTTCCTTAGTCACCCTTGGCTAATTCTCCAAGTATTCTTGACCACTTTTGGCCCACTAGCTTCACTTACTAGCACTAGTATTCTTGACCACTTTTGGTTCACAAATATTCTTTCTATCAGCCTCTTCAGGCTTTACAACAAATGAGGGTGTTGAGTGTGTTTGCAACTCTCACAGAGAGGATAAGATAGTTTTACACTCACTAAGGTGCGTAACCTTAGTTTTACAGGAATAAGTGTCTAAGTGTTTTGTTTACTCTCATAAAGAGGATAAGATATTAACAACACTCACTAAGATAGGTTATCTTAGTTTTTATACAAATATACAGGAAATGCTTTGAGAAGAAATGCAGCTTATACTCTTTTACTTTCTTTTTCTTATTGCACGTGTTCTTCGCTTTTTTTTTCCTACCTTGATACTTATAGCTCTTTTTGGTGAATCTGCCCATTGTTCGGATTCAAATTTTTCCAATGGAGTTGAGCTTTATGTCGTTTGTGAGACCCCCACCTTTCTTTTTCCCATTTTCACCCTCACCCACTAATTCACTCTAACTCTCATTTCTCTTTACCCACTCTCATCTCACTCTCAATTTTTTTCACTCTTCTCCCTTGGATCTTTCTTGTGGCTGTTACAAGGTGGTGGAGTTGAGTAAAATTTGATTGCTAGCTGGTGTCGGACTTCCCTCTTCTCCTTTCCAGTTCATTCAAGCCCTTCTTCGTCTTCCCTTTTGTTCTTTGCGGTCCCGAGGCTCGGAATCCTTGAACCGAGGTAAGGGAAGTTAGATTTTGTTGTGGTTTGGCTGAAGATGAGTGGAGAAACTCATTTGTTTACTGAGAATTGAGAAGTTGTGGTTGTGATTTTTCCAAGATTTTCGTGTGGGGGTTTTTCGAAGTTTTCGAAAAATTTTTGGGAAATTCTTGATTTGTGATTGCATGTACAAAAAGGTGGTATTTTTGAGCTGCTGGATGAAAATGTGGTACTTTGAACCGTTTGCATGTGGATTTTCTGTGGGTTTTTGCAGGTTTGGGCAAACTTTCAAACTTGGTGAAGCTGCAGCTAAGCTTCGCGCTGAGCCCCGTTCTTCGCGCCGGGCGCGTGGCCACCAGGGGACTCCATTTAGGCAAGCCCGCCGAGTGCAATGATGAGTGCGCCGGGCGCGCTTGAGAATGTGGGTCTCTGGTTGGTTCGCGCTGGGTATGACTAGGACCGAGCTGGGCGCGATACCAGTTGTAACCTGTTTTGAGCTTTTTGATTTTGCGCTGAGCGCGACCCTTGTCGCGCTGGGCGTGAGACTCCTTGGGAATCTCTGCCTTGAGGTCGCTGGGCACAATTTGAATTGCGCTGGGCGCGAGACCAAGGGAGGTCTCTGCCTTCCCCATGCTGGGCGCGGGTCTAGGCACGCTGGGCGCGTGAGACTCCATGGAGTCTCTGCCTGGCATCCGCTGGGTGCAATTGGTATTGCGCCAGGCGCGGGTGAGCCTTGGGCTCTCTGGATGGTCCCGCCAGGTGCGGGCATGCTTGCGCCGGGCGCGATGGCCCCTAGTGCTCTCTGGTTGTGCAATGCTGGGCGCGATCAGGATTGCGCCGGGCGCGAAGGTGATGCTTTACTATATGCTGATAGATGTTGTAAAATGTTGTTTTATGCCAAATTGAGCTAAAATTGATGAATATACTGTGTTGATTATAGTTGAGGATGTAGAATTATGATGTTGAGTTGCACTAGATGTTTATTACTGAGCTGAGCCGTATTAGATGTATATTAATGAGTTGTGCCGTGCTGTAAGCTGTTGTTGCTGCATGCTATAAGATGTGTTGTGTTGTATGCTGATATAAACTGTTGTAGACCGTAAGACTGAGTTGTTGTAGGTCGTAAGGCTGAGTTGTTGTAGGAGATCTCCGAGATGATATGCGTGACGACGCATTGTGTGCTTATTGCTGTTTACGTTGTATAGTTGATGAGGTGTATATTGATGTTGTGCTGATAAGTTGTAGTTGTTCATATTTCATGTATATGTTTATATGATGATTCTTTTCACTAGCTTACCCTTTGTGGTTTCCAGGTTTGGACTGCGATGATCATACTATGTATGGGAGCAGAGCAGGGATAGGTGGTGGCTAGTGGTGAGTCTGCAGCTGGCAGGCGGAGCTGATCCTTGTTGATATTTTGTTGTTTCAGCTACTTGGTGTAGTAGCTTTGGATGTATTTTTGTACATTTTGAATCTAGTCAGACTTGGACCATGTATATATGTATATTCTAGACACTATATGTATACACTTGCTCCTTTCTGTCTGGTTTTCAGTTGTACTGTGTTGTGTGTAGTGACCAGCCAGGTCGTTACACTTTAGTGGTATCAGAGCAGTTTGAGTCTAGTGGACCCTCTATGGGGGTGGTTCCTTTAGGCTTTGTTGTGCTGAGCTCTGTGTTGTGCTGTCTTGTTGTGTTGTTTGCTGTGCTGATTGTTGTGATGTTTTGATGTGTTGTTGATTGTGGTTTGGTTTAGTTATTGTATACTAAAGATGTTGTTACTTTTGTAGACAATGACTAGAACCAACAAGCAGATAGCCTGAGCCATGGAGATGATGGCTATGGCTATGCAACAACAAAATGCCTATTTTGCTAGGATGAAGGCTGATAGAGCTGCTGTTGGTGTAGCAAGGCCCACGGGGTCACAAGAGAGCCAGGATCTAGCTGAGTTCCGGAAATGCCATCCTCCACAGTTCACGGGAGATGCAGATCTAGAGGTAGCTGACCGCTGGATATGTGAGTTGGAGAAGATCTTTGCTTTTCTGGGATGTTCCCTAGAGAAGAGGTTGGCATATGCTGTGTATATGCTTGTTGGAGAGGCCGAGCATTGGTGGAGGGGTAACCATCACATGCTGACCGCTAGAGGAGTGGTTGTTGACTAGGAATGCTTCAGGAGGGTATTCTTGGAGAAGTATTTCCCTGAGAGTGTGAGGCATGCCAAGGAAGTTGAGTTCATGCGATTACACCAAGGAGGGATGACAGTTTCTAAGTATGCGATGAGATTCGAGCACCTGGCTCGTTTCTATTCGCAAGGTATAGCCGAGGCCTGGAAATGCCGGAAGTTTGTTGAGGGTCTGAAATATGAGTTGAAGAGGGTGGTGGTGCCTATGGCCATCACCGAGTTTCCGACCTTAGTGGAGAAGGCGAAGATTGTGGAGAGATTAGAAGGAAGTAACCATGTGACTATAGTTGATGAGGGACCAGCTGGGTCCAAGAAGGGAGGTGGAAGTCAGAGGAAACCGTATGATAGGCCCCAACCACAGCAAGGGGGTCCTGTCATTAGGTAACCTGCTGAGGCTACTAGAGGAGGGGACAGGGTGGAGGTGCTGCCCTTAGATGTTACAGGTGTGGTGGGCCCCATGTAATCAGGGATTGTCCGCACACTGTGAGTCGATGTTTCAGGT